GCGTTGGACGACGCAACTGTAAGTGCGTTTGTGTTCGACTATTCGTGTTTCTGTACAGCTGCGGCTCACTCTCAAAGGGCCTTCTCGACCTGGCAGAATAAAGCCATTCATTCACCCCGTGCACCCACCGCTACGTTCAATATCCAGTGCACCTGTACGGCACACAAGCAGTCGTTCAGCAGTTGGAGTGCGGGTTTATATATATGATATATATACCACGCATAGTTTTGCTTACACATTTACTTGGTGGTAAAAAAAATGCAATAGCTGCTAATATGTACACAAATAAAACTTTTAAGGTTTACTACATAAATAAACTATGTTTGCTTAAAATAACAATAACACGGAGCTAACATTTCATTTTGTGTTTTTACACACACACACAATGGATGACACTATACACGGTATATACTGTAGTATGTGTTATGTATATATGTGGGTGGAGCGGTGGCGCGGTGGTTAGCGCTCTGCACTTTGTATGTTGAACTTCTTTCGCACCGTACGTAGCCAGCCGTGCTAATCGGAGGTGCAATGAAACCCGCCGTTCGGAGTTAGATTCCCGGCGACGGCTAACATCAGCGGTCGAGTGAAATCTGAACCTGCTATGACCAACGTGGTGAAGTATGGTCAACCTATAGCGCCCCCCCCCCATTTCCGGCCCGGTGTGGAGAGGCATCCTGCTCCCCAGCAGTAGATTGACAAATATGTGTAAATTATTATTATTGCTGTTGAAATATACATAAAGCATTGTAAACTGACACCCGTATGACAAATAATTATGTTACTGTTAATGAATCAATAGTATTCTTGTTTTTATTAGAATGTCATTCGCGCGACAACAGCGGCTCACACAATGAACACACCACAGCAACAATGGCAGTAAATCTGAGTGAGTTATAACGGCAGGAGAAGTATCCATGAAAGAGGAGTCGCAGTGCCGCTGTAATTCGTAAATGAGGCCTGTTATGAGAAACAAATGTGACTTCAAGTGGAGCGATCATTGCGAAGTTGTAGCCTCTGTGCTTAGTTTGATATCGCGACATTCAAACGAAGCGGGGGTGGAGTGGGGGAGATCCAAAGTGGCGACGTTTCACGACATCGCCTTGTTTTTCTTCGACAGCTGTCCGTGTTCAGCGGCAATGGAAGTGTTTTGTTGTCGCCCATAGTCGCGTTGGCGGCCGTGACCAAGCCACAATAAGCCTCGATAGATCTCGCAGCTATGGAGTCATGTGTCATGGCACGAAACGTGGTTTAATATGTGCGTGTGTTTTCCACCTTTCAGGGGTCCGCGTTATTGACGGAATGTGTTGGGATTTTATTTTATTCTAATAGCCGCTGTGCTTTCGAGAATTTGTGCACTCACAACTATGCAAAGGAAAACGTTTGGTGCGCACCTGAATTGCAGTATATTAAACGTAATTTGTTTTGTATATATGATCACTAGGTACAACAAAAACCTCGTAGTATTCAATGTTACAAATATTGACATGGAAACATTTGTCGTGACACTGCGTTGAATAAGCACAGGTAACATAAGCTCAACACATTCATAATCGAAAACACAATCCTATGAATGTAATAGCCGACGTTTCGGGAAATGATCCTTCTTCATAGCAGAGGGACACTATAATTGGTAAGAATGTGTTTGTCCCCTTATTAACGAGTGCGTTCACACTTTCTCAAATTTAACATTCGTCTTATATTTGCGATATCAGTACAGGCGTATGATGTGTGTGTGCGTGTATATATATCTAAGCTGTAGTGATTTATATACTTACGTTTGAGTTAACTTTATTGCCCAATATAATCTATACTCCAAGTCAAAATACCGATGACTGCATCACCATACTAAACATTTAAATAAAGCTAAATTACCCGTGTCGAGATTGTACATATTAACATTACCAATCATTGTGTAAATTGACAATATAGTCACACACTACAATCATAAAACAGTTTATATATCACTGAAATAATATATCGACGTTTCACTCGACCAACCTTCTTCAGTGGCTTAATAATGTAATACCATGATTCTATTTCATTGGGGAGCTACGTAATACTGTTTTTAGTAACAATTAATTATTGTACATATACATGTAATATTCATACGACAGACAGTACGTTTCTGAAACGCGTTTCGCTATGTAGCTATGCACAGCGCAAGTGTGTATGTACATACACACACACGACTTATACAATGTTCCCTTCCACAACTTCGTATCACCTTGCTCACAATTAATAAAGTCATGAACTGTTATCGATATACAACTTTAGACAGCGCTGTTAGTTGCTGGCCGTTCTCGCCTGTTTGGGGCCGCCCTTGTGCTCAACAACGGTGATAGCAAACAAGCATCAAACCCCAGTGCTGTGTGTACCGCGTGCGTGCGTACAGCGAGTCTCGTACTCGCTGTACGTACAGCGAGTACGAGACTCGCTGTACGTACGCACTCACCGTCTGCCGAGTGCGTGCACAGAGGTAATTCGTGACTAATGACTGCCCCACCACCACCACCACCAACTCTCTTCGTCTCAGGAACGACGATCTCTCGCCTGGGATGGTCGTGAATGTAACGACGTTTGGAGAGGTTGGGGAAGGGGGGGCTGACGGTGACAGGGAGGGGTTGGTTGTTTGGATGGGGGGGACGACTGTCCTGGAGATATGCACTTTTAAAAACATAGAGATTATTAACTAATTTCTTTAGAACTACTTTTCGTGTGTGGTTTATTGTCCTTACCCCGCACCTCAGATTAGTACGATTGGCAACGCACGGCGCAAAAGAAGTGCAGCATACATACTTACATGCCCCCAGTCTGGATCTCAGGAAAGCAAAGCTGCTATACTACCGGATACATCTGTAAGCGAAAAATCGGAGGGAAAAAAATCCACCCCCACCGTTTCCTGTAGATACTATTGAGCCCCTACATATACTGGTGTTGTTAGCGTTTGTTTCGTTTTACGCGTGAGTGTGTATGTATGTGAGTGGTGGTGGTGGCGTTTAAATGTTATGGGGGGGGGGGGGGGCGGTAGTGTAGCGGGTAGCGCGCTGCGCTACGAACAGTGACCCGAGTTCGATTCCCGCTCACGGCCAACACCACGTGTGACAATTATCTGAACCGGTCCTGAGCCTCCCTTAGGTCTGCTCAGCCTCAAATGAGCACCTGTTGCGGTGTGTAAACATCGCCATTGGGGAGACAAAGGCAGCCGGGCGTGGTGCTGGCCACCCACCCCTCGTGTGCCGCTCCGGCCTTCATAGGTGCTCGCTAACAGCACTTGCCCCAACAGTCTGTTAAGACTATACGGGGTATCTTTGTATATTTCAGGTGGTGTGACAAATTCACCCGCTTCACCAACTCGCCACTGACCAGTCGTGGTGAAGTATGGTCAAAATAACCTGCACGAACTATGCAAGGCGTGGGCAGAGGGCCCTCATCCGGCAGTAGATTTGACAGAAGGGCTATCGCATGGTGCCTATGCGTGCGAGAGTGTGAGTAGAGGCACCTCCGATTAGCACGATTGGCTACGTACGGTGCGAAAGAAGTTCAACATACATACATGTCGGGCGTGGTGCTGGCCAACCATCCGCTCGTGTGCCTTTCTGGCCTTCAAAGGTGCTCGCAGACGGTACTTGCCCCAACAGTTTGTGAAGGCTATACGGGGGGATGTTTGTCTTGAGGCAATGTCATCGGTTCCATTAAAGGTGTGCGCCCTTCGGATTCCTAAGTGCCCGTGAAGCCATGGGGGCGTGATGTCTACAGCGGCCAGCCCCCAGGTCCCCTCTTGGGAGGGGTTGACGATACTTCACCACGCTGGTGGAAGTGCCGTCTCGTTCAGAGAGGACCTGCGGCTCGCTCGTCACTCACTGATGTTAGCCGTGGCCGGGAATCGAACCGAGGTTTAATAAACAAACGAAAAGAAATACACGCACAGACACACACACGATATTATCCTACACATTTGCAACTATATGGCCCGTACGTAGTTATGAGAACAGTGTTAAAGTATATACTTTAGGCCACATATAATTAATAGATATATGCAAACATTGGTAATAGTATATACTGTATACTCTGAAAGCTGTATGAGGCTACAATATGTTTTCGAAAAGGGACTTAATAATATGACATTTGATCAAGCGTACTTTTTTTTACGAATTACTAAATTGCATTCGTATTAGTTGTACTATTACGCAAATCGAAATTCTGAATGTAAATATGAATCAATGTGCGCGTGTTGTATTGCACCGCACCACTAACGACACAACGAAATCCTCACCCGACACTTTTTAAAAGAGGAAAAATGTTAATATTAAGCAAACATTCATAAAAAAATATAATAAATACATCTCTCGAATCCGTTTATAAATTTAAGTGCGCATTTATGAACGATATTTTTGGTGTAAAAAAAGTAATGCGTTATGACCTTAATATAGGGAGAGTCTTTTAACAGAATATATTAACAGTCACAAGAATGTTGCGGGCATAAAAACAATAAATATATCTTCAATTTAAACTCCCCCCCCCCCCCCGCTTCTCCCCTCCCAAATCAGAGAAATCGCTACCTGCAACCTGGAACGGTGGCGCGCTCTCACCACAGCACCGGCATCATCATCAGCAGCATCATCATCATCAGCAGCGGCATCATCAGCAGCAGCAGCAGGCGCTGAGCCGGGTGAAATTTGGCAGTCATCATCAAGCCGCGTGTCTCGCACTCGCCTCTGCGCGGCCGAAAAGCGAACCGCGCGCGTGCCGAGCCAATGGAAGGGGCCGTGGTCGTTGTTTGTCAGCCCCTCGCGTCACTGCCCACGACGCCGCTGCCACTGCTGCTGCGGTGGTGCCGCCGCCCCCTCGGGCGTCTGGCGGCGGGGGCGGCCGGGGCGGGGTGCGGACTCCGCGCGCTGCGCTGCCCGCGCCGCGGCATTGGCCGGGGCGGAGCGGGCGGGGAGGAGCCGCGCGGGGGCCGTGCGCGGGCCGCTGGGACTGCCCCCCGTGAAATGACCGCCGCCGCGCACCAACAAACGCGAAGCGTTCGCGACTGCGGGCCGGCGTGCGCAGTTGGTGCTGCTGCTGCTGCTGGTGGTGGCGGCTCTGTGCTTGGTGGCTCTGCGCTTGGTGGCTTTGCTCTTGCTGTTGTCGCCGCCGCTGCTGCCGTTGCTGCCTGCTGCTGTTACCGCGACTACTACGAGTGGCCCGCTTCTGCAGCAGTGCGGCCAGGCTGAGCTCGACAGCGAGACGGAGTTATTGTAGCAGAGAGACAGAGAGGAGAACAGAGGAGTGAGACGAGCGAGAGAGCGCGCGGAGCAGAGCCACCAACTTCCACCGCGGCGCCTCCAACGATGTCTGCGATGCAGGCCCGCTACCCGGTGTCGAACGCGAATGCGCTGGGAGTGATGTCTCCTTACTTGAGCGAGCAGAACTTCTACCGCTCGGCGGGCGGCTACGGCGGCCTGCCCGCGGCTCCGGTCGGGATGTACTCGGCGGCCAACGCGGACCCTTACTCGGCGGGGCTGTCCCGCCACTACGGGCCCTACTCGCACCCGCACCAAGCGCCCAAGGACCTGGTGAAGCCTCCCTACAGCTACATCGCTCTCATCACCATGGCCATCCAGAGCGCGCCCGACAAGAAAGTGACCCTCAACGGCATCTACCAGTTCATCATGGACAAGTTCCCGTTCTACCGCGAGAACAAGCAGGGCTGGCAGAACTCGATCCGGCACAACCTCAGCCTCAACGAATGCTTCGTGAAGGTTCCCCGCGACGACAAGAAGCCCGGCAAGGGGAGCTACTGGTCGCTGGACCCGGACTCGTACAACATGTTCGAGAACGGCAGCTTCCTGCGGCGGAGGAGGCGCTTCAAGAAGAAGGACGTGCATCGCGACAAGGACATGCAGCAGCAGCAGGGCGGCAAGGAGCACGGTGAAGAGTCCACCAAGAAAGAGCACGGCACCCAGCAGCAGCAGCATCAGCAGCTGCTGTGCTCCGAGGGCAGCGGCAGCGAGGGCAGTCGCGCGCTCAGCCCTCCTCCTCCTCCTCACTCGCGCGGCTCCCCCGCAGCCATCCTCGTGGTGCCCAAGATCGAGAGCCCCGACAGCAGCAACGTGGCGCAGGACAGCCCGCGCAGCGTCGCCTCCAACCGCTCGGGATCCATGGAGAGCGGCCTCACCGAGTCGTCGGCGCACGGAGTCGGGGGAGGCTCGGGGGGAGCAGGCGGTGGTGGTGGAGGGGGGGTGGTTGGCGGCTTCGGCGTGGTGGACAGCCCGCCCAGCACGGCCATGCTGCGGGCGGCCGGCCTGCACGGCATCAACGGCGGGGAGCTGGGCCACGCTCTCGTGTCTCCTCCCAGGCCGCTCATGCTGCCGCTCATGTCTCTGCACTACGCGCAGCCCCAGCAGGCGTCCGTGTACAGCCCGTGCGGACAGGGCGCCGAGGCAGGCGGCGGAGCGGGAGTAGTAGGGGGAGGAGGGCAGCCCTACCACTGCAGCCTGCAGACCATGAGCCTGCAATACGCCGCTGGGGAGCGGGCCGAGCAGGGGCCCTCCTCGGCGTCCGTGTCGCTGCACGAGGACACGTCGCCGTCGCCCGACCACGCCATCACGTCCACTGTGCCGCACCTGGGCGCGCTCAACCTCAGCTCCAGCCAGCATCACCAGCAGCAGCATCAACAGCAGCAGCAGCATCATCATCAGCAGCAGCACCAGCAGCACCACCAGGATGGCATCCTGAGCGCGCTCCAGGCGTCTCATCACGGCGCCCAAGACCAAGGCGGCGTCGCGCGGCTCCCGTCCTGGTACATGGGACAAGATTCTGGCCACGGTGCCAGCGGTGCTGGTAGTTTCGTCACTCAGCAGCAGCAGCAGCAGCATTTCGGCACGCGTGACATTTTCGACCCGCCGCCACGGCTGGGCCTCATGGAGGGTCTGGCTGCGAGCGCCGCCGCGGCGCAGGTGAGCGCGTCCAGCAGCTGTCAGATGTCCTTCCGATCGGCCACTCTGTACCGCTCGGGCACGTACCCCGCCGCCTACGACTGCAGTAAGTACTAGCGCCACGACGCGCCACAGATCCCATGCGTGTAGTATTTTTTTTATTTTCATGCGACCCGTGCGTATACGTTATATAATTGTGCGTAAACGAAAGAGAGAGCGCGAGTTGGCACAAAGCATTATTAGTCCCCGTCTCCCCCAAGCCGAATTCGAATCCTGACTAAGGGTCGATTGACTGACGTGAGCCGCGTGATCTGTCTGCTATTTTTGAGCGAGCCCGCGGCCCTCCGAGATGCCACCGCTGGAATGAAAAGTCAACAACAATACATTTGTGGTCTTGTTTGCACGCGTTCATTGAGGAGACATTGGGCCCCCGGCCACAGTAATGTGGAGGTTACCACCGCAACGTAAAGAACACCAAGGCGCAGATGAGAATTTTTCTAAGACAAAATTGCAACACCCTGGAAATTGTTTTGGTTGGGGACACGACCTGGCTGATGATTCGCCGTGAAGTTGAAACTGTCTCAATAATGCCCCGGGCTGGAGAGGGCAAAGCGCCGGGATGGGAGAAGCAGTTTCCGACTCTGATGTGCATAGCGCGCACGTGCAGGCCGAGGAACGAAGCGGGGTGGGGGTGGGGGCAATGGGCAATTAATTAAGAGACCTCGAAACGAACGTGGATGTTGGTCTCTGGGTGCTGGAGAACCAAGTCCGCCCACCATCGCTGACCGTCCGCGACATTGCCTCGAGAAAAGCGGCTGAGAGAGAGGTGACTACAACAACAACAAAGGCAACAGCGGTGTGAGATGCCGTGTATTTACTTTGTGCATTCACAGTCACACGTGGATGTGGCTTTGCCGCGTTAACAAATATTCCTTGAGCAGCGTTTTAATCGGATTCCTCCACACCCCCACACCCCCACCCAGTAACCCCCCCCCCCCCTGCAATCGGAAGTGTAAACAAACAACTACTCATCATGGATTTGGTCAACAATGTACTTGGCTAAGTTAGCTTTTCGCTATCGCGTATACAATATACAACCGCACGTGTACTTTTATTGAGAATAATATTACTAATGAATAATATCAATAGATTATGAAAAAAGGGGTCGATAACTGCATCGTGGAAATGCACCAGTGTTGTTCTATTGCAATATCTAGCGACGTAACGGACTGTATGGAAACAACAACAATTATTACCTTGCATTCTTTTCCACCGGACTTTGCGCTATAAACATAAAATAAAATGTTACCACCTAATTTATTATTTATAAAACCTTTATCATGTAGAGTTAAAACAAACAAACAATGGTAATTTTTTTTTCCGCTACAGATATAACATTGCATTTCTAACTATATGAATCAGAGACTAATTTATTGAATAATTGTTTTCGTGGCACAATCATCACTTTGATAAACTATATTATGTTCAATGGACAAATAGTAAATGCAGCATCAACTTTGTTTCCCTTGTATATGCGTGAACACACACACACATATATAGCCATATATTGTAGATCTTTGCGATGTTGTTATCTTGTAAATAAATAGTTTTACTGTGCCAATACAAAATGTTTGCGGGATTTTTTTTCTATTACTCGTGTGCAGTGAATAGATGGAGAAATTGGGTATCCAAATATTGGGTTTCCAATATTCCATTCAGTCATCGTGTGCACGGACAAATGTGGGCGATTCGGCGGTAACGGGATTACAAGGCCAACGCACCGATATTAGCTACGCCGCTGAAATGGATAAAATAAATATATAACGACATCTCGAACTATTGGGATTAACCCGTCTCGTGAGAACTTTTAGAAACTATATAAAAGGCTCCCCCAAAAATGCTCGCGTTAAATTTGTATGATTCTGTCCCATGGGTGTAATTCCGTTTCCGCGCATATATATACGTACATCCAGCGTCCACAGAACCATCGCGCGCGGGACCAATCACCGTTCTCTGTGCCGCATGCAAAAGACAAAGATCCCCCGCATAGCATTAAAAAGACTGTTGGGGCAAGTGCTCTTCGTGAGTAGCACCGATCACAGCCGGAACGGCATACGTTGCGTGTGGGTGGCCAGCACCACGGCCGTCCGCTTTGTGTACCCAGTGCTGATGTTGACCCACGCCGCACCAGGCACTCCTTTTTGAGGCTGCGTCGACCTCAGGGAGGCCCAGGACCGGTTCGGATGTTCGTCACTGACATTGTTCGTGAGCGAAAAATCGAAGTGGGATTCTCCTGGTTCGTATACCAGTGCGCTAACCGCTACGCCACCGCTCCCTGGCGTCACGGGGTGTGTGTGAGTGTGTGAGAGTGTGTGAGTGCCGCATGCGTGCAAACACGCACGCCGTGACACTCCACCAAAGTGATGCAAGATTATATCGGGTTTACGTCTCCGTTTAACTTGAAAAGAGGGCGGAGACGAGGGTCGTCGTGCCATTGAGATGCCTGTCCCAAAGTTCGTCTACACTCGACACGACACTCGACGTCTTCACGCACGAGGCTGCAGCTGCTAGTGTCGCCGTAAACGCGCGCTCGCCGGCCCCGTGGGGTCCATCCTCGAGTTGAGACGGCAAATGCATTCGCTCCCAGCACGGCTCAGGGAATTTGGCCCAGATTGTGGAAACAACATCGTCCTTGACGCGTGCCCCTATAGCTGTGTAGGCTCAGGACGCGGACGGGGCGAGCCCAGAGAGACAAAGTTATAGAGAGAGACACAAGAAAGGGGTCTTTATGGGCGGTGGTGCTTGTAGGGGTGTGAATAACGCGCAGTCACAAACATGTCAAAACAAATCTCACCGCACAATGTGACCGAGCGGCACTATGCACGCAATACCCAACGGCTATTACTGCTCTTGGAGAATGGCACGGCCACCTTTTCTCCCTCTGTTGCTGGACAAATGAATGTGCAATTAAAGCGGCTTCCGCCCAATAAATGGAAAGGTTCGCGTGGAGGAGAGACCTCTTCCTGGCAGGTCTGTTGAAGTCACGGACAAATAACTCACGCTTGTTAACAATTGACATACAATAAATGCATCGACGGCATTCTTGAGTTCAAGCTCGTGACTTTAACGAACACTTGTCGGGATGCGTATATGCGGTGCGATGTAGGCTATTGGCGTGTGTAGATGATGGTGTGCACATATTGGCATGGGCCGTTCGATAATAATAATATTTTGTTACGTCTTAAACTTTGTGTGCATGCACGGTACGTGCGTACACGCATTACACACGTGCGCCGACCTGGGCGGACGATATGTTCCGATCATAGCCGCGTCTTTATTGTTAGCGTGTACATCATCGAGCATCGTAAAGATGAATTGCTATTAGGGGGATCTATTATATATTGCGACATTGTCAGAGTTTAGTTTCACGCGCGTTATCAGTGCATGTTTATGTTCCATACTGCACGTGGTGGCAGGTAATATGCACCGATTGCAAACTTTTTTTTAAAGTCTACATTGGTGCGTTGCTAATTGCACGTGAGAGACAGAGGACCACGTGAATCAGAGAACAAGACGCACATTAGTTGAGACTATCTTTAATTGCTAAGAAAGGTGGGTGGGCTTGAACCAGGAGACACATCACTAAGAAGAAATGAGAGCGCGTGGACGAGGCTGGTTACGGAATGGCAACCGAAGGATGATGATCACACCAGAGATGATCACACCAGAGATGATCACGCCAGAGATGATCACGCCAGAGATGATCACGCCAGAGATGATCACGCCAGGGATGATCACGCCAGAGATGATCACACCAGAGATGATCACGCCAGAGATGGCAACGCCAGAGATGATCACGCTAGAGATGATCACACCAGAGATGATCACGCCAGAGATGACGACCAACCACCGAGACGGAGTGATGAGTCCACCACGGTGGTGCCTCTTGAGCAGATGGAGTTTGCCAATGACTTTGGGAAGCCTTCATCCAGCAGTGGATAAAACATGACTGCAGGCGATCTAGTTGGAATGGGGATGGGGTCTACCTCCAAATTTTCCTTTCTCTCTCACTCCATTTAGACGGAACCTCAATATAAACGCATTTACAACAATGATTACGTACATTCCCCGAATACTTTAATCGTCGAATATGTACACATACGTTTAAGTGAACAAATAAACACGAGACGCAGTAAGGGGCCTTCACTACACACGTTATATATACATTTATATATTCATTTACATGTTCTTTCTTATTTTGTACCAAAGAGAACGTGCGAACTATGGAGGGCTCGCTGGCACGGCTTTGTGTTCTCACAAGAGGCCCCAGTATTTACTGCAATTCCCAGGACTGCGTGTACCCAACTTTATACACACAGTGCGCACTTTGTGCTGAACTTTAATTGCTGTACTATATACACGCAATTACGCATTTAATATGCGGTATATATGTGTACACTCACGTACATTACGGAGTACATTGCCTGCTTCTGTTAACCGAGGAATTCATTTTTCATTTAGAAACTCAATTTCCCAGCTACTTGTATTTAAACAAAGAGGGTTTTAATTTATATTGATTTGTTACGCGGATTATTCCGATTTCTAGTTGTTGCAAGGGAGATCGGTGGTGTCGAACATACATATATCAATTACTATCTTCTTGTTGGTTTGGTTTGTACCTTAGGATATATCTGTTGCGGGCATGTAGTCGATTCTAATTAGAAAGCGTTCGTTTTAAAAAAAATGCGCACGTTCGTGGATGGCATCACACTTTTTTAAAACGTCATTTGATGCTCAAACCTTCAGTCCGTGAATCTCAACACTTGTGTTTGTAATTTATAGCGTAAGCTTCTGGAGTTGTGACGAATTAATTTGAGAAGCCACCCAAAGGCACACACACACACACACCTCGACCCATGTTTTGTTTTTAAACTGAGAATGCCAGTTCAGTGCAGCACGGTGCTTAAGCATCAGCCGGATAAAAACAAAGTTTGGACCTGCACATATGATTATAGGACTATAGGGTACAATAATATATCATTATTATTTATTCTGGACACGGTATAAATTGTACTGTCGTGGTAGAACCTTATTCCGCTAATCCCGAACTCCAAGCCCAGGCGAACAGAGTTGCAGAACATTTGGAGCGATACATTAATCCCAGCTAAGCAGGAAGATAATACAGTTTATTTAATCTGTAATATTAATGTTTAATATTCAAAGGCGTCATTCAGTATTTGTGGACTTAAGCGCGGCTGGTGAACTCAAAGGACGCACACCGTCTCCGACTAAATCTATCCGGAGTGTGCTGTTGTACAGCGTCTGCTTGTGCGTTTGCAACTAACATTACTGTGTCGACAAAACCCTTCAACAGACTCTTGGGGCAAGGAATGTGAGCGAGAGCTTATTAAGACCGACACGGCGTACAAGGCGGTGGATGACCAACACCACGCCCGGCCGCCTTTGTCTCACCAAGTGCTGATGGTTGCACACCGCACAAGGTATTCATTTGAGGCGAGTCGACTTAGGGGAGCCGAAACTCGTCCTGTAGTCTTTGACACTGATATTGGTCGGGAGCGGGAGACGAACTCGGGTCCCGGAGTTCGTTGCGCAATTCAGCTCGATCCACTACGTCACCGTTGTGTACACATTGCGAAAAGGTACAGAATACACACACCTACACAGTACACACACACAGTACACACACCTACACAGCACACACAGCTACACAGTGCACACACCTCTACACAGTGCACACACACCTACACAGTACATACACCTACACAGTACATACACCTACACAGTACACACACCTACAGAGTACACACACGAACACAGTACACACACACCTACACAGTACACACACCTACACAGTACACACACAGTACACACACCTACACAGTACACACACCTACACAGTACACACAGTACACACACTACACAGTACATACACACCTACACAGTACACACACCTACACAATACACACACCTACACAGTACACACACCTACACAGTACACACACACCTACACAGTACACACATATACACACTACACACACACCTACACAGTGCACACACACCTACACAGTACACACACACCTACACAGTACACACCTACACAGTACACACACCTACACAGTACACACAGTACACACACCTACACAGTACACACACCTCCACAATACACACAGTACACACACACCTACACAGTACACACACATCCACAATACACACACCTACACAGTACACACACCTACACAGTACACACACCTACACAGTACACACACATTCATAATACACACACTTACACAATATACACATCTACACAGTACACACACACCCACACAGTACACACATACCCACACAATACAGACACACCTACACAGTACACACAACTACACAGTACACACACACCTACACAGTACACACACCTACACAGTACACACATACCTACACAGTATACACACCTACACAGTACACACACACCTACACAGTACATACACATACACAATACACACACTTACACAATACACACACCTACACAGTACATACACACCTACACAGTACACACACCCCCACACAGTACACACACCTACACAGTACACACAAACCTACACAGTATACACACCTACACAGTACACATATACCTACACAGTACACACACATACACAATACACACACACCTACACAGTACACACACCTACACAGTACACACACCTACACAGTACACACGCATTCACAGTACACACACATTCACAATACACACACTTACACAATACACAGACCTACACAGTACACACACACCTACACAGTACACACACACCCACACAGTACACACACCCACACAGTACACACACCTTCACAGTATACACACCTACACAGTACACACACACCTACACAGTACACACACCTACACAATGCACACACCTACATAGTATGCACACCTACACAGTACACACACACACCTACACATTACACACACCTACACAGTACACACACCTACACAGTACACGCACACACCTACACAGTACATACACCTACATAGTACACACACCTACACAGTGCACACATCTACACAGTACACACACACTTACACAGTACACACACCTACACAGTACACACACAGTACACACACCTACACAGTACACACACCTACACAGTACACACACCTACACAGTACACACAATATACACACACAGCACACACACCTACACAGTACACACACCTACACAGTATACACACGGTACACACCTACACAGTACACACACAGTACACACACCTACACAGTACACACACCTACACAGTACACACACAATACACACTTACACAGTACACACACCTACACAGTACACACACCTACACAGTATACACACGGTACACACCTACACAGTACACACACAGTACACACACCTACACAGTACACACACCTACACAGTACACACACAATACACACTTACACAGTACACACACCTGCACAGTACACACACAATACACACTTACACAGTACACACACTTACACAGTACACACACCTGCACAGTACACACACCTACACAGTACACACACAGTACACACACCTACACAGGACACACACCTACACAGTACACACACCTACACAGTACACACACAATACACACCTACACAGTACACACACCTACACAGTACACACACCTACACAGTACACACACTTACACAGTACACACACAATACACACCTACACAGTACACACACCTACACAGTACACACACCTACACAGTACACACACAATATACACACAGTACACACACAATACACACCTACACAGTACACACACCTACACAGGACACACACGTACAAGGGAGCCACTATGTTTGGAAAAAATAAGTTCTAGGTTTTTATCGCAATTCTAATGCTATCGCTCTGTCCAGGGCAGTTTGTAAAATGATACTAAAATCACTTTTCAAAACTGCTGGACGAAGGCCTCCTCCGCAGAATGTTGGTCCAAGGGGTTGCTTCACCATCCTTGAGCACGCAGTGTGTGTGGGTGTCGTGGAGGTTTGCGTGGAGAGGGGAGGACTGGTTCAAATCGAATTGTTTCACTGATGTTTCACCGTGGGCGGAAATCGGGAAATGAACTTGGGTCGCCAATTTCACGTGACTTAACGCAATGCGCTTCACCCCACACAGTTTATACTAATCATACAATGTGCTATTATAATACATGCATGGCCGTCATATAAGACAATTATATACTCAGTATATATTCAGCTAACTTCGGTTTAATTAAAATGTGCCATTCATTAAATAATGTAAGCGCCCATTATGCACGTAGCTATATATATGCGTCTATCAACTATAACGTACACGGGCCATACACGTGTTTGTACGAACATTCACCCTTTGTTATGTGAGCTCTCTAATATAACCTTATGTTGTATGCGCATGCCATTATGACCGAGCGCTTGATTGATGGCCGCTATTTAACCAGGTGAGAGCCCAATGAGCTTGATTACAGTATTTCTTTGGAGAGAGAGGGAGAGTCCTGGAAAGTGTATAGGCTACAGTTACTGAGGCCCTAATTATCGTCTTCACAATTTAATTGTGGGCAATTTTCTAATCTGGAGTTTTTAAACCCACGGCGCACCATCGCAGGAGCCACCGCTGCTGCTGCTACTGACGATGATGTCACTGGGAGTGGGGGGGGCACTTCAATCGACGTCCACTTCAACGCACACGGAGGTGACCTTCGGTTCAATCTCCGTGTGATAAACCATCATCAACAACGTCATGGTGATCATCGTCGTCATCGTTTAATAATCATCAGCACCGCGCGCTTCCAGGCAGTTCACAGCTCGAGGCGTCAAGCCCCGGCACCGATGGGGATGGACGCGTTTCGCTATTATTGTTTTCCATGCAAAAAACAAACTGGACCATGGAGGTGACATTGCTACAGTGCGTGCGACTTAAACGCTCGCCGACACGTGCACAAACCATGTTCGCACATGTACACACACCACAGATACACACAGGCCCTCAAGTGATCCCTGATTTATGTATTCTACTGCATTCAGTGGCGTAGCGTGGTGGGGCATGGCCCTGGTGCAGTGAAGGAGATGAGGATCTCTATGCAATCCCCCCACCTATCCGGCGCCTGCTGCACCCTCCTCGCCGCCCCCCACCGTCCCCAGCCCGTGGGCCCAGTTGCACCGCCTGCACACTCGAGAGCTACGCCACCACTGGCTGCGACTTTGGTAAAGGACTTCTTGCTGCCATGAGGTGGAACGGCGGTTCAAGGCTTGCCTATGGCACACACGTCCCACCCATCTCGCCACGCGCTCCAGTCGTCAGCTGGCCCGTTTGGCCGGCCTCGCTGCTATGTAAGAGCGAGGCTGCATTTCAGCCGGGTCGATGACCCGTGAAATATTTCCATACCCGGCATACCACATCCAGTATATCTCTCGCTATGGGCTGCGGCTACTGGTCGACGTGCCACCTTCTCTAGTCTATTAGTGACCCGGACAATTTTTCTGTGACAATGTAAGCCCTGAAAATGTGGAACCATTGGGGTTAAGGCCCCGGCCTACTGCTTCGACTTTCCAATTGCCAGTTCCAACGTGGATGGTCGCTCTGCATGTGAATGAAGGACGCGATGGAGATTGTTATTATTATTAATATTAGTATTTGAATGTCCCTTGTCATTTGTGCGCTTAATAGCTATGTTAATATTTACACGACCCTAATTGCAGGTTGTTTGGTTGCCATGATAACGTGTCAATATATCTCTGTATGTGCACGCTGCCGGGAAAAATGACATCAGTGAGCGAGTGGTATGAGAACCAGTCCTGGGGTAACCCCACGCATTCACCAACCCAGTTAGAGTGGTGGTGAGGCATGGTCAGGCGACCGTCGCGACCGATACGACGTGGAGAGGCCTTCATCCAGCAGTGGATTGACAAAGGCAGCTGAACGATGTGTTGCTTTAGAGGAGTGTTGATATTGGTTAATGAAGAGACGCGATCCGGTTAAATGATGCCTGCTGGACACAAATGTTCCGAGGCCCATAGGCCTACATATATATGTGGTATTTTATTTGTACGTAAAGAGACCGAGCCATGTGTGTGTGTGTGTTTATAATTGTATCAGTTGTAGAGCGGCTAGCGCTTTGCGCTAGGGTTGAATTCCCGACCACGGCTGACATCAGTGGTCAGTGATATCGGAACGGGTCCTGCTCGCTCCCATGCCCCCCCCCTCCTCACCTACCCCACCCACGCCTTCAAACACCCACAATCACCAGCACGGTGAAGTATGGTAAAAACAAACCCCATTATCGACATGGCGAATTGAGAATGGCTAGAATTGAGAATGTGTATAGATCTGAACATGACGAATACATCCTTCCACCGACCTGACTCGTAATTTCAGTGCAGCTTTTGAATATCTATTCATTAATTCCGTGGTGAGACGATATTTCGGCAGGCATATCCGATTGACCAGGGGTGGCCCACCTTTTCAGAACTCATGAGT